TCGTCAAACAAAAACCAGAGAAACGCCAGTTTGATCACCATACTTTTTGTTTCCTTTCCAACACAGGGTCATTTAAGAATAACTCTTGCCTATACAGTAAAACCTCTCTTGAGCGGACACCTTCGGGACCTTCCCAAGTGTCCACTTAATAGAGGGTCTCTGCTTAAAAGAGGTTTGTAAAAATTGCGAAATGTTTGTTAACGATTAACATTCAACGGTTACTCTGTACTGTGATAAAGTTTCATGTTGATAAGGAAGCTAAGGACGCTAAGGAAGCTGTGCTTTACTTTGTGCAAGACTTTTAGGTGAACTTCTGACAGCTAAATGTATTGATTTATCTTTATTAATTGACTACAGTACGTATTTTAAGGACATAATCCAATGCTACCATTGTCAATTCAGTCTGGTGTCTGCTCAATGGAGGTTTTTAACCATAGAAATTCAGCAAAATAAATTATTTATTTTACTGTCCGTGTCTTTTTTTTTAATTTTGAGGCCCGGCATCTACTTAATAGAGGGTGTACACTTAATTGGTGTCCACTTAATACAGGTTTCACTGAAGTAGTCCAGCAACCACTAAGAATCATTGATGGACTTGATCAGTTCATCACCTAATCACATGATTCATGAAATGACTCCAAAAGGTAAAGTTTTTGAATGTACAGAAATTTAACCCATGATTCGAGATCCAGACAACCCCTTACAGACCCTGCTTCTACACAGAATGCCAGTCCTGTGTATTAAAATACTTTTGAACACCCTCCCCCTCTACATTTTGTGCATTTTCAAAATTTACCCCCAAAATTATATAAGCCTCTTCGCAAATTGTACCCTCCGTGTTAGAGCCATCCTTTCCAGACATTGTGCGAATACTATTCTGGAACTACAGTGTACATCACTTATCTTCTCTAAAAAGATCAAAACATTGCATCAGGACCTTGATCTGATGCAAATTATAGATTTGTAGATTTTACGCCATTCATAATCATTATTTGTATTATTAGTATGAGATTGTTGCATATATAATAAATCATGTGGCTGTTTGGCGATCTTTCCGGTTTTTCAGAGGTTAAATGATGTTCAACGAAGGTAAGCTTAAGTTTAAGCTCAATATTCTTTAATTTCAGCTCGGCGCACGTGACGACGAATTAAGCAAGCACTACTCTTACTTTTACCCTTGGCCTGGAAAAATTAGTGATGAGGCTTTTCGTGAGACATGCCTAACAGAACAGGGAGCACAGTGGAAAAGGTGAAAAAGCCATTTTTACCAAAAGCTTGGAATATTAAACTCAAATTACTGGGAGTGACACAAACATGCAATCGAGCGTTAATGATCATCAACTCACTTACTTCAAGAGGAAAGGCGCTAAGATCTTCCTTCTTCCTTGTCTCTCCTTTAGTCTTTTTGCTGCCTTTCTGGCCTTTAGCCTCCTTTTCTTCAACATTCATTTTTTCTACTTTCTCTTCTAACCCAGTATTCGACATGATCCCAGCAATGTACAACGTGGAATAAAACTTTTGGAACGAAAAATAGCCAATTCTGATTCTGCTCAAATAATGTAACAACTGACATTTCGCGGACTCGCCAATATGGCGGGATATTTTTGAATGTTGGTCGGGAATTTCTAAATGCTATTTCTCTCCCCACTGTGAAGAAATTTCTGATCTTACGCACCTCTAACGGATACTCCACTGGATCCTCATCAGCCTTGAATAGTTTTGATGAACAGCAAAAAAATGCCCGAGGTACTGTTCCACGCCAAAATCCTCCCGCAGGATATGCGTCAAGCTTCCATAAGCATGCTCTCACAATCGTTGTCGAAGCGCTTCGTCGTAATAAAACATTCAAAGACTTGATCATAATAATCTAAAAAGTCTCAAAAATGGCTAGATAAGTCATCTAATACTTTTAAGGAGTTTGATGTCCTTGACTTTTGGATCACGGCGTCAACATAACAGACGAAGAGACAGAGGCAATTATTTCACCATGTCCAATTGAACCTGATCAAAAGCGTCTTATTATTCTCGTTCTTCATTAACTCCAGCTGACATCGTGAAGAAAATTGTACCTTGTGCCAGCTGTGCTACCTGAACGACATTTCACCAACATTCACCGTTTTCCCACAGGCGTAGCTAGTTACCAGTTTACTTCAGCTTTCCACCACAAGACGGCCAACAAGACACCTCGTTTAGGGCTTAGTGAAGGTCATGGGAACAAGGAGTCATTATCAAACCACCAAAGGGTTGAAATCTATTGTGATATAGCGGGGCTGAAGAATGCACCCCTTTTGCAAACTTTGCTACACATGGCCCTGCTCTCAGAGCGCACGCCCCTGGTTTGGGATCTGATTTGGGAGGTTAGAGGTTTGAATCATTTCGGGGGCTCTAGATACTATGGAGGTTGTTAAGGTTTCCAGGCATTGTTTAAGCTGACATTTCAGATGTGATATGTGATATTATCAACCAAAGCTTTGACAGCTTTGACACGGGTATATTTCCTGACGACTCACTTTGGAAAAAGGCCAAAGTTTCTCCTGTGTATAAAGCGGATGAAAGAAAAGAAGCTGACATAATCCTTAATATAGACCGATATAATCCTTGAATTTTTCACTGAAAACAACTTGCTCTCAAAATTTCAGTCTGGATTTGCACTTAACTTGTACCGCACTACAATTTGTAACATGCAGATTTATGGCTTGGAAACATGAAGGCCTATGCGAATGCTGTATAAAATTTTCTCACTAAGGACTCAAGAACATTAATCGTTGTATTATTCATTCAAAATATTTCCTCAATTCTGATTGGCTAAAAGCACACTCATAATTCACCATAACCAGTTACTGATGACCAAATTTGGAAGAATTTTGTGTTTAACGAGGAAATGACGTAAAAAATGCAGCGTTCTTGCAGGTTAATGCACCGTTAACCGAGAAGACCTGGGGACGAAGTCGAGTTGTTTTGGTTGTGAACTTGGAAAATGGCAGACATTTCATTCGTTTCAAGAGTAAGAACTAGGCGAAAAAATAGCTAAAAACATGGCAAGAACAGCAAGAAGAAAACTCGAAGGGCGACATCTGCTATTTGGAGAACATTTGCGGAGCTGGACAAACCTAAACGTGCACTATTGACTGCGGATGAACTTAACATCGATGGATCGCTGGAGGTAATGGTAAGCATGTTTTAGCCATGTTTTTGAACTAGGAATTATTTTGAATAAATAATAAAACAATTATTGAATTCGGCTTTCGTATCATATGAAGAATTATGGAGATCTCGGAGGGTGTTATCCGCCTTAGCCTACGGCCTTGACGGATAACGAGATCTCCATAATTCTTCATAAGATACTCAGCCTCATTCATTAATTGTTAATTTATCGATCACTAGTTGGGCCTTACTTCGACTATTGCAGCCTTGTATGGGGCCGAAGAGAAAAAAATAACACATTACATCCAGTTTGAACATTTGTATTGATTTCTGTATTTTGAAATAATGTGCATTAACTCTAAAAAAGAGCAAGAAAAAGTACTTCGCAACAAGGGATCTCGAGTCTGAAAATTTCATTTGCTGCTAACTAGCTGGAATTAGACAATTTACCTTGGCACTATATCTGGAAATGACCAGTAGGAATGAAAATATTCCTACAATTGAGTTTGTATCAAAAATCGTATAATTCTGAAGCTAAGCCGCCGGGCTAAAAGTGAATGAAGGGGTTGAAAAAAAATTATGCGTTCACCAAATTAGCCTGAGAGGCAGGCGTTTGAAAGGGAAGGGAAAGGGAGAAACGCGAAAGGCAACTCCCTTTCCCTTCCCTTTCAAACACCTGCCACGCAGGCTATCACCAAATCACCCAACCCGCACCTCAGAAGTAAACTGGTTGGCCCCTAAGTTTGAGTTCGTGGGTATGGCGCGCAGTTTGTTTCAAAATTATTTTTGTCAGTTTTACCATTTCATTGTCTTTTTGGTTAAATTTTCCTTTTTTATTTGGTATCATTTGCTGTTTCATTTTAATAAGTCTCCTCTTGATTTTCGGCATTCATAGAGATACTGTGGTATAAACAATTATAAACAATTTCAGCAATCTCCTCGAGTCGCAAATTCTCCGAAAAACTCTCGAGAGTTTGTAATTGGGGGAGGACGGGTGAAATTCATGCTCTGAACAATGGGACATAACAGCTGACATTTAATGATATTTGAGCATAATCAGGCTATGACCTCCTGGCACAACAGTGACGTCGTTTTAAGCATAAGGGCACATGGTAATTTTTTTTTGGGGGGGGGGGGTGGGGGTGTGACAGGGAGCTGACAATTTTGTCGCGTAGAAGTGGCTGCTGTGCGGAGCTTCATAGCCATTGTCATAAGCTCAAGTACATGCGGTCTATTGTCCAGTTCATCCAGAATATCTTTCAAGTGTGCAAGTTTGAGTAAGCAAAGAAAATGAAAGTTAAACTCAGTTCATTATTACATATCTTTATTTTATCAGCAAGCCAATAGCAGCCACAAATTAATTACAGTCTCTCCTTTTCTTAGATAATTAAGCCACCCCTACAAGTGAAAAATTCAAATTACAGTACGCAAACAATTACTCCGCGAATACGCCGTTTCTCCTCCCTCCGGGCCACTAAGGGCGTTTTAGGAGAGAGGGACGGCTATATTTGCAAGCTAGAAAACTAGTGAAAACAATTCTTTTCATGTATTTGTCGTCTTCAAACTATGATTAAAGTAGACTCCTACACTGTAGTCAGTACCATGTGTGTGTATGTAATAATAACTTTTTTCCGATACTAAAATTAACCGACTTTCCTAGCTGTCGATCAACCTAATGAGCCTTCGCACTTCTCTATAAAAGCAACTAAAAGCGGGTCACCATCTGTCCCTTTATGATATTTTGGAAAGGCTGAATTAGAACCGAATGTTGTAACCTTTGCATTTATAAAGCCCCGAGCAATTAGATATACAAGGTCCCAAGTTTTGCCGTTCCATTTCTTTCTTCTTTAGAGGGATCAAGGGCCAACCATCAAGCTCACGATTTCACTGGCGGTGACACCCGAAGTTTTTCCAGTGACAGTAACCAACAAATCTTCAGTGTTCCCAGGGACAGCCGAACGTTTGGCAAAGAAACGGACGGATATGACGGCTTGGCGGTACTGATAAACCATCGTCGTGTTTGCGGATGTGCGGACCTCAAAGTTGACAGTTTCCTTAATTTTGAAGTCGAACTCTTCGGTAGCTCCAGAGTTAATTATTAAGAACATGGCGAATTCGTATCCGGATTTTGGGGCAGTGAACTCATTTCGGGCGTACAGGACTTTGACAACTACATGGCTTGGTTCCACCGTGCTTTGAGAGCTGCGTTCAAACTGGACGCCCCTCTTCGTGTTGCCTTTTATTTGCATCTTGAAGGGTACCTCGGGAGTAGGAAAGGAGGCTGAGAAATGCACACCATGTCTTCCGACTTTTCGGAGACGGGTTGAGTGAAGACGTCTTCCATCGGTGCCCAGAATATATAGTTGTAGCGTATTGGGCTGCAACTTTTCAGCTCCGCTCACAATCAGGATTACGTGGGCAGTTATCGCTGAAAAAAAAGAATAAAGAATTAAGATTACATCTTGGTTTGATAATTGGGGGTTACGCATTTATCAGTTGATTTGGACTGAGTTTTGAATCAAGATCAATCAATCAAATCTTTATTTAAACATGGTAAAAATTCGTCACGTCTGTACAATTTAAAATTGAAAACTATCACTTAACATTATTAACATGACAATTAAAATACAGTATGTACAATTAATACAGTATGTTTCTATGAGATATCTAAAGCAAAAAAACTAACACATTTCCGGCAATTACACTATAAACTAGACCTCCTTTACATGCGGTCTTACATGTATGCCGTGTACCTAACTTAATTAAGCAAATAAAGGTTTGACAATTGCTTAAGGTGGCCCGAACCTATTTATATGCGCGTTAAATATGTTTTTGAATCGAGTTTTTCGGAAGGAATGATTTAACCAATTTCTGTGATTTTTGGCATCCTTAATAAACAATGGTCGAACTTTAAGAAATTGTTATTTATTTTCTTGTAGGTATAAACACGTGTGAAATATCGGCATATGCTTAAAACCTCACTTTTACAAAAAATTTCAATTATTTCGAAACTGGCTAAGACAGATTTTTCTCTAACTTCGGCAAATAAGCCTCAGAACTCTCCAGTTTTATATCTTCAGGTTTGAAGTCAATCGTGACCGTAGAACTCGCTGCACAAATAGCTGGTCAAATTGAACCTTAAAATGCAACGCTAACACATTTCAAATGTGTGAAAGTTGACCCACAAATAGAGGACAACTGCCGACGGACTATCTCCTGTCTGCAAGGGTATTCTTGCCCAAAGCTTCTTCTCTTGCGATTTTGGAGTTTGGATTTTTGTGACGTCACTTGAAAACCAAGAATAGGTGTAAGGGTAAATGCACAATTGCGTAAAAATGACGTAAAGTATTTTACACTTTTTACTGTAGACCAACAATACAATTGTACAGAATTGCTGTTGAAATCCATTGTTCCCTACCAGAGAGTTTCCCCCAAAATTTAGACGAGGAGGAGTGCATCTGCTAACAGACGTTATAGTAGCTGCTAGCTATTTCATTACCAACATTGGTCTTTGCTGGTATATTAAACAAAAATGACGTGTAGGAAAAAGAATCCCATGTGCATGAGGGCTCTTCGGAATCAGTTTGGTAATATAAACTCATGAGTACCTCATGGAAGGAAGAACTAGAAGAAAGGCAGCTGAGAGTAAGACCTGCAAACGGCACATAAGTTCACATATAGAAAAAAAAAGGGCGCATCGCAGCTGACATTCCCAACCCAAGGATTTAAGCTTAAGATAATTAGAGAGCCGACCTTAAGACAATCCACGAAGCAGACACAATCGTCACAGCACAAGCAATATCTTTAGCACAGGAAGAAAAGAACAAAGCAGTTGACACAAATGTCTATGCTCTGCTGCTGTACCATTACCTTGATAGAGGTTTAAACATCCCATGGTGATGCAGTCACCTAAGAAAGGCAGAGCTGAACATGCAGATGTGGACATAACTGTTAAAGTAAAAAGCTATGCCAGCCCAATACCCAACAAGTAACCAGCCCATGCACTTACAGAGTGTGACACTCGCCATCTCCCACTGTATCGGAAACGGTAAGAGGTTAAAAATTCTTTAATGAGGGAAATTCAGCTGAAGTCCTTTTGGCAATAAGACTGCTGACTTTCCCGATGTATTTCTAAAATCCACAGCTTTTGTCTTGGCAAGCTACAAAGTGTAGGACTAAATTGTAACTCCATGACGTTTGAAAAGTTTAGCCAAACAAAGAAAGGGAACAAAGGAGCAGCTGAAGCTACACCCAAACTATGCATTTTGTCTCCAACGAATGAACCTTTTAAAGGGAACCGTTTCGTCAAAAAAGCTCATTACCATAGAGGGTTTTCGGTAGCTTTTGAAATGCAGATGTTCAGCTGGCGGACTTGCACCGTTCGTGCCGCAGGCACGACCTTCTATATATAGATTGTTTGTAGCCTGCGTAGCAATCGTTTACGCATAAGTTTGTCGAGAAAGTTAGGACGATAGCAACTTTTTCGACAAACTTGCGTTGAAACCCTTGCTACGCAGGCTACAAACAATCGTATGTCCCGCCTGAAACGAAGCCCCTGGGTCTACCAGTGCTGCATCTGGAGGCGCACTTTATCTGAGCAGCAGCCAGACTTTGAATCCACGGATTATGGCTGGGCTGGTGAAAGGATGAGGTTTCTAAGTCTCTACAGTCCGTCACTCTACCTGCTACGACTCCGCCAGTAGCAGATTCACATGCTCAACACATCAGATGTTTTTATTCTTCAGGAGTTTATTCCAAGTCCGAGGGCTGTGGCTGCAAAGCAGGCAGGTGGCACGCATGTACGGTGTTTTGCATGTCGTGTAAAGGTGCTACTGCATGTCGCAACGAACATACCAGAGCTGCCCGGCAAACAGGGGCATCTGATAATGAGCAAGTTTACGATTAACGTCAATTTGGAGACCGCTGTGCTACTCCACCAGATGTGGTTATGACAGTGGCACACTGAAATGTACGATGTTGAGTTATATTGCCCTCGGTGAAAAAAAAACAGCATTGCCTAAAGCGGGGTGTAAGATGTTAAGGAAAGGGTGATTGAAGTAAACTATTCTTTTTTAAATTTTAACCACAAGTAACCTAAGAAAAAATGGACCATTTTCGTGATTTCTGCATTTATTAATTTTGAAGTGGGAAAATCAGTCCTATCGATCAATCATGAAAATAATTATTAAGTTTACCCTATAAACTTTTACATACAAGGCAAATAGGTAAGTGGATAAGCGAGACTGCCGAATCATTAAGCAAGTTTAAAGAAAAATAAAATATTTTGGAGCAGCAAGGAATTCAGGAAACTTTTCCACACCAGCTACCATTAGGGGACAGGGAGCAGAGAAGGTTAAATTGTGCGAAGCAATAAAGATGCTTTTATAATATAACACTGCAGTTGCCAAAGAAGTTTCGCGTAAGGGGAGCTATGATCGCGACTACAGGGTTTTTGGTCCGTGAGTAGTTTATGGTATAATTGTCCGTACGCCGTTATTATTAGTCCCCAAACGCAAACGTACAAAAATGCTAAGAAGAGCTTTACCCACATAGATGCAAACTTATCCCTTCACCCTGGTACAAGAAAGGTGGTGGCTGTAATCCCCCCTAGCGGTTTCGTTACGTTACGATATTTTGAAACGTTTTTACCTTAAAAAGATAATTTGCTTAATTTTTCTACAAGAGGATGTTAATCTTACGGGACACTTAAGTAATCGATGCTACTGGGGGTCAGTGACGTAATCCGTCATGAGCAGCTACAAATACCGTATTTATTCGGTTAACCGCCCTGGGCGCTTATTAAATTTTTGGACCGTATTCGAGCTGGGCGCTTATTCGAGGCTGGGCGCTTATTTAAATTTTCACCATTTTCAGCAAGTGATTTATGTTCATTTTGCAACAAAACAATAAATGCTAATAACAAAACGCGAAGAAGTAACAAAGTAAGGTTTCTGTAAAATACTCTGAACAAAACTCCGTCCTCGGGGAAGTCTCTTATTAGAATTAATTCACTCAAGTGGGTGGGGTGGGGGTGAGCGCTTATTTGAGTTTGATTGGGAGGAGGAGGGGCTGGGCGCTTATTCGAGGCTTGGCGCTTATTAACTTTTTCTGCCTTTAGGATGGGCGCTTATTCGAGGTGAGTGGTAATTCGAGGTTGGGCGCTTATTCGAATATATACGGTAGTTACTGAAATAAACAGGAGCCCAGAGAAATCTTCTTGGTACAATCCACCCCTTCCCTTGTAAGTCAGAGTGCTGATACTATTATTCATAAAAACAAATAAGTCGAAAATAATTTTTCTTTCTTTGTCCACAAACAAAAAGTACCTTGTAAGTGGCCCAGAACTATGATTATTATTCAACTGCAAATCTTAGCCATGACCTTTCTCATTTCATGAATCTTTTGAGTGGTCAAAAACACCTGTTCTAGGAAGAGTTAAAACGGAATCCATCAGAAAATTGAGTAATTTTAATTTTCAGCGGACAAAAACCTTGAACCAGAATAATTTAAACCATACTGTATTCTTTTTTACATTTTTCAAGGGCTATGGATGTAATTAATTATCTGTAATAACACCAAAGAAAAATTCTGACAAGAGCCCGAGAAAATAAATTTCAAATTTCAGAAAATGACATCTTACACATGAAATTTTCAGAATTTTACCTGAGTTTTCCCAATTCTAGTGAAGTTTTACGTTTATTTTCTCGGGCTCCCAAGAGAAATAGTCTTTGGTGTTATTACAGATAACTAATTGTATCTATAACCCTTGAAAAATTGAAAAAAGAATGCGATATTGTTTAAATTATTCTGGTACAAGGTTTTTGTCCACTGAAAATTGAAATTTACTCAATATCCTGATGGATCCCGTCTTATCAAATAAGAAACAACAACTCACCTTTTAAGGGATAAGGAATTGGCAGGGGTCTTCCCATTTGACGTGGAATGACAAAGATAAAGTCGAACACCACATTTGTTCTACTGGATCCTTTCAACAGGTATGTGTGCTTTCCTGCCTCTGACGCCACTACCAACTGCCAGATTCCTGGTGATGGGTTTTCCAATTCAAATATTGTCACTTTGAATACCACGCTCTTCCCAGAGGTAACAAAATGTCCCAGGGGATCTTTTAGGTTGATCGTCGCGCCACTGTTCTCACTGGAAACCGTGACAATAATTTTTTCCATAGTGTCATCCACGAGCAATCTATATACAGACGAGGAAACACTTCGCTTCTTTTTGCCAGGTGGGATGATAATTGCAAAACCTCCAGAACAAGATGTCCCACCGAGAAGGTGTTTGGTGACTTTCTTCATCTTAGCGATACTAGAGCTATCCTTTGGTAGTTCAAAAACCTGACCACAAGTGTCTCTTGCAAGGTTCTCAAATGGCGTTGAAGGCGACGATGGGTCAACGCAGCCTCTTGTTACAAAAAAGTAGACATTTATACCCGCTAGTTTTGCACGGGTTGTCACCTCCTGGATGTTATCCAGCGTAGCATCTTTAGGTGGTGCATCAGTCCAGACATACAGGGGCGAGCCATCTGCAGGGCCTTCATTCAAGGCTTCTATAATTCCTTTGAAGGCCATCTCAGGACAGTCACCTCCACCATCCGGGCTAAGTTCTCTAATTTTTTCAATAAACTTTCTCCCGCTTTGTGTTCCAGCATCAATTTTAATGGCCCTTCCTATTTCTAAAGATTAAAGACACAGTAATGAAGTTTCAGTCTTTTATACACACCTTGTTCGTATTTTATGATAAATGGTTTTCCAAAGCAACACTCTTAACACACAATTCGCATACCTGGATCGTTGAAAGGCGACAAGATATAATCCACTTCTAAATTTGGTCTCCGGTAGTTAACAATGTATGTAGCGATGTCCTTTGCTGCTTGAATTTCATCAGCCATACTCCCTGTGTCATCAATAGCAAACATCAGCGTAGTTCTATCCAAGTTCTTTTTCCCAACAAACTTCTTAAACTTGTCTTTGCCAATCTCCTTCTCAATCATTGTCATGAACTTTTTCATTGCATCACTGCACAAGCTACAGCGCTTCTTACGAGGCTTCTTTTTCTCTATCTCCCGGGCTGTGTAAAGCGCATGCCCAAGAGACCGGCGGATGAATGATTGGTGGTTGCTCTGATTTGCCGCTAACTTGATGATCTTTTCAATCTTCTTCAGTCTGGCTGGCGATTGTGTATAAAAGGACCCAACAGCCTGGCTTTCATACACTGATTTTTCAAAATCAACAACCGTTTTCAGAAAACTGTTTGATGGAGAAGTTCGACCTTTAATGAACAGAAGGAAACAACAAAGTTAAACTCGATTACCTTAAGTGTAAAAGATATTACTAGAGTGTCACAGGTGATAAAGTAAACACCCGCAGCCTGGTAATTAAAATTGTTTCTCGAAATACTGCTCTATATCTACTGCATGGACTTAGTTTTTCTTTTTTGTTAGTTTAATCTGACCACACAACAGTTCAATAACCACACCAGTAGTTCAATGACCACACATTAGTTCATTTAGCGTAAACTAAATGTAGCTGTGGGAAAAATAGCCTCAAATACGTAAGATATTTTTGAATATGAATGTGTAGCATTAAGTAAGCAGGGGCACCCATCGACTCAGTGTTTTCTGTAAAACATCTGTCCGGAGAGGCAAATATTGCCTAGAATATTCTATTGCTTGAGAACGGCTAAGAAATTGTACGTGAGCGTTCCATTCATGTACAATTTTCGAAGCTTATGTAATCAATTTCCCACAATTTTCTGAAGTTTAATTTTTCATTTCACTCCCCAGGTAACGCCATTTTTCACAGAAAAAAGAACCTAAAATTTTCGGATTCAAAAATTTCATTAAGAGAGGAATCAGAAATATTTTCACTTTCGGTAAACGATAAATTGCATCTAAAATTTTTCGGGAAAATCGTACTAAAGCCCTTGTAATTTCGAAAAGGCTCAAGTTGCCCTAAGATGACCGAACAGATAGAAATGTTACAGGGCGCCTTGGAATTATTTTTACAGATCTTAAAGTACTCTAGATAGCCTAAAAAGTATCTTTGAAGTATTAGAGGGTAAACTGTCGTTGGGTGCCGCTGAGTATGTGGTATAAGTACTCATTTAGCAACTATACAAGAACTTAATTGAGAAATAGCTATGGTATACACTGTTATTAAGTTCTAGTTAGCTCACTAATATAGACAGGAACATAGACTGATGTTAATTTAAAAATTATAGTCCGCTCAGAAGGCTCATCAGGGGCACAGTGAACAGACCTGAAAGGAGAGTCAGCGCTGAAAAGGGAAAGCTACTCGGTCTGGAGAAACTTCACACTAAATAACCCGACAAAGCACGCGTTGATAAAGCAGAAAACATAACGGTTAACGGCGGATTAAACCATGTTTTTTGACTCTCTTTCCGCACGTTTCAAACTGTGGTACCACAGCTGGCCCAGAATACAAAATATGAACCAACAAAACAATAAAAAACAAAAACAAATAACCAGCACACAGCAGAGGGACGTATGAATTTGGGTGATCTCAAGAACCAAAATTAATGATACTGCTTACCATCAGGTTCATTAGAGTAAGTCAAAAAAGCATTTCTTGTGTCAACTAAAGCGTCCACATAGTAATTCCACGAAACTCCACTGCAAGAGTTGGGCAAGGACAAAGCTAACACCAGGCATAAGACAGTTGAGTGAATTCTGAGGCCTGTTCCCATACTTCAATGCACTTAGAAACTCAACTTGTACTAGATTAGGATCGCTGCAAAAATGAAGGACAGAATTTACTTGGATTCATTATTTTAAACCCACCTAGCTAGCCACGTAAAAAGAATTAAAGAACCTGACTGTGGGAATCATTGAGAAGGTAGCCGAGGTACCCATGAGAGCCAAGCATTATTATCTATAGCCACACTTTTTGAAAAATTTCAGCTTTTTGTTGAACATAAGTTATTAAAACGCTGGGGCACGTGCTCTAACACAGTTTTGACACATGCAATTTATGAATCACTCCATGGCCAAGCAGTAAAATTGCGCCTTCTTCTGTGGCAAGTCCAATATATTTTTTGCATACATACATACACTACATACTTTATTCAAAGGTCAATAGTGATCCACACTAAAAAATCTAAACAACTGGAAAGCTTTTCAGGGTCTCCCAGCGGTTTGGGGGAACAAGGGAAGACAGCCAGTTTGAAACTGGCAACAGGGGAACAAAGACAAAATATCTTTAAAACACAAAGAAACCTAGAACAACAGTTTTAGAGATCAAGGAGACAAACCAAAGTGATTGTAAAGGGAAATGATTACTTTTTAAAAAGCAATTAAATAGCTTCGTTATCTTCTACTTGCCTCCATGTCGCCAATGGCTCTCTTTTAACAAGGGGCGAGGATTTCTGGCGGTTGTTAAACTGAACGTTAAACTACAAGAGGTTATGCGGCACTTTTGCATTTTAGGTGACTGCATGCTAAACCAATAACAGGGTCGCGGAGAGAACATGATCAATACTGGCTCTATATCAAATCACGGGAAGACCTGCATACCCTGCACAAATGACAACCAACAACAACAAATAAAAAGTTTATAAAGGGTTGTGAATGCATTATCTCGCCTGAAAATGAATTTGAATTAAAATCAAACCAGACGCATTTAATCTTAATTCGCAGTAGTTTATCTGATTCTTGTATTCCAGTTATGTCTCAATCAGCCTTCCACTATGCTCTTACCGTTCAGTCCTTTATTAAACTTAACAAGGTGACCGAAGAAGCAGAAAAAAAAATTAACCCAGAAGTCACTCCATGAACAGAGCTCAATGCCTACCTAAATGCTTGATTACCTTAGTATTTTGTTTACCACCAAACCACGGCTGCAATCATGACGCTCACCACTGACGTTTTGGAAATAACAGAACTCAATATTCGTCAACTTAACACAGGTTAGAGACTGTTCATGGCGGCTTCTGGTACAGGCCAGAGAAGCAAGAGAAATTTATACCCTTTTACAACGAAATTTTTACCGAGTCATCACTTGACCTTCAATCATGCCAAAAAATACCATGATCTACTGACTTAATTTAGAATACTGGTTTTCACTTTCAAGCCACCAAGAAAGTAAAAATCAAGTCTTAACAATAAAAAGTCGAGTTATGGACGCGATAAAAGATTTTGGCAACATTTGTCTCAGGAGGTTACATATGTTGCCATTCTTCTTATGTTACTAATGTTTTCTGGACACTGAGCGTGGCTTGGTGGAATTATCGAAATGATGGATATCGATAAACAGGAAATTTAATTGGATAAATAATGAGGGTTTCCCATTTTTCCGAGAAGCAATCCAATTTTGGATGTCGCCCAAAGTGGGTTTATTTTTTCTCCAGCTCATTTAGGTACATCATTCATACATTTCTCCTCATAAAGCTATGTAAAATCAAATACTAGCACGTTCTCTTTCATTTTGAAGAGAAAATGCGTCTTCTCCTGTATGAAGTCAAATACTACGTACACTACTTACTCTTACTGTAAGAGTTACCGATAAACTACCCACACAATGGAAAGTTTAGAAATCCCGAATCAATACTGATCGTGTATAGTGACAAATTTCTCTTAAGTGAAATCTTCCACAGTAGACATGACTCGCCAGTTCCTTTTTCTCCTAATGGTTTTTCAGGGGTTTGGGGGAACAAAGGAACTTGGGCACTTTCAACTGGACAACAGGAGAACGAAGATATAAAATATCTCAAATTATGTTTAAAACAATGTTCAGATAAAAACAGTTTTGGAAATTGCGCGAACGATATGATGGAATTAAAGGTTTTTAAAAGGTGCGAAGCTACACTGGAACACCACTGTGAGCATAAGGGCAGGAAGAACGGGGGGGAAACGACCACTACAAATTAAAGCACTTGTAGTGCATGCTGCATTGTTTCGCCTCCATGTCCCCGAAGGCTCTTTAACAAGTGGCAAGGATTTTGGGCGATTGTTAACCTGGACCACTACTTGCGAAGAACTGCGGCACTCATGCAGTTTGGGTGACTGTGTGCTAGGCCAAAAATATAAAGGAACACTGACATGAATCGAGCAGCTGGTATCAAATGACCAATAACACAGTACAGAGGGATAATCATGTTTTCTTACCTTGTCAGTCACTGAGGCGGTTTATCGAAATGGAGAGGAGAAAGTAGCGATGCGTTGTTCATTTGAATCAGAATCGGTACGGGAAAGGTACATAAGAAATTCTTTGACCTAACTGCATGAAAAAGAGCAGTTGCAATCGCCGGCAGATGCAAATCTTAAAATGTTTAGTGCCGATTGACATAGATCCTAATTCGTACATCGATGCTACATTTATCCATCACTTTAACTTATAGTTTTCCAAGCTAGGGCCGTGACTGTTAAAAAAAAATTGCAAAACATTAAAATTAAGCGAACAAGCGGACTTAGCTTTGATACCCAGGACGATTTATTAACTACAACCGTTCGGTTCTTTACTTTTTTCTCTCGAAATGTCATAACCCCCTCCCCCTTTTTTTTTTGCAAACTTCCTCCATGGAAAAAGTAACTCGAACTCGACGGATTTCAAAGACAAAGGCGAATTAATCTAAAGACCAGCATACGCTACATATGCACAAATAAGAATCACAACTTGATCAGTTTTAATAAAGGGCTTTGAATTCCTTACTTCATCTGCCATCAGGTATCAACTGAATGAATTTGAATTAGAATCGAACCAGAAGCATTCAATCTTAACCGGAGTGGTTTATGATTCTTACTTTCCAATTACGATCTCGATATAAAGCCTTACGCTAGCATAGACTTTAGTAAGTTATGAAACATAACAAGGTGACCGAAAAAGAAAAAAATGACCCAAAAGCTCACTTGTTGAACAGAATACTGTATACCTACCAAAACACTTGATTACCTTTGATATTGTTTACCAATTAACAAAACACGGCTGCAATCACGCTGGTCACCAGCGTTTTTAAAATGACAGAACTCAATATTCTTCAACTAAACACGAGTAAACGACTCTTTAGTGAAGTATGGATGCATAGTACACTGAGGCGGTAGTACCAGTAATATCTATCCTTGAAGAAATTCAAAACAAAAAGGCTGGAGTGGTGTACTAAATTCCATGCAACCAATGCGAAAAGGTATATATCGGTGAAACAGGGAGACAGCTGGGAACCAGGATCACAGAACACAGAGAGGAAGCAGAAAAGATTTCTGACAGAAATTTCACAAGATCCACCCGCAGAGCTTCTACCAATGAACACCATAAATCAGCCTTAACAGACCACGTC